GAACTAGTTTTATTTACTATCAACTCTTCTTCTGTTTTTTAATTAAATCTTCAAGTATCTGCTATTTCTTTGGCTGCTTTATGTGATAAAATTTGTGTGGCATATAAATGAAAATAGTAAACAGAGGAGCTCTTTGTTCCTCTGTCTTTGAATGAGTGTGTTATTTCCATTCTCATCATTACAATCACATTTTATTCTTCAGGTAACTCTCCTTGGTTACAATCACAAGTTAAGGATTCTACTTGAAACTTTAGTTCAAAAGATTGCAACATTCGGAGTGAAAGCTGATAGGTTCTCAGTTATCAAGGTACTATATAAAGCACTTCTCAGATGACATTTGGTCCAAACATCCTTGTCCTTTGAGGATTGAATTGATTTTTCATAATAAGAAAATATGTTAACAAAAGAGCAAGAGCTCGTGTACAATATTTGTTCTATAATTTATGTATGTCATATTTTTTAAAATAAAAAAGTTGTCTTGATTTTTGTATTTATTTAATCATTTATTTATTTATCTATTTGGTATACCCTTTTATCAGGAAATGGTAACCAAGGAATACGAGAATTTCAAGTACCAACAACCCTATCAGCAGGCTATGTATTATTGCTCTTTGATACTACGAGATCAAACCTGGCCTTGGAAAGAACAACTAGAAGTACTTCCTGATCTTCAAGTTGAAGATCTTGCTAAATTTGTACCAGCGTTGCTCTCAAGGACCTTTATAGAGTGTTATATAGCAGGTTCTTAGGCCTTTCAGTCCTTTCTTGGTTGGCTGAGTTACTTTTATTTCAATTGGATTGAAATTTTATGTTCAGGAAACATTGAAAGCCACGAAGCAGAATCAATGGCTAGGCACATGGAAGATGTTCTCTTTAAGTGTTCAAAACCACTATGCAGGCCTTTATTCTCATCTCAGCATTTGACAAATCGGGTTGTTAAGCTTGAAAGTGGCATGAATTATTTCTACCCTTCAGAATGTCTTAATCCCGATGATGAGAATTCTGCTCTTGTGCACTATATACAGGTGGATTTGCTTGTCTGTGATAATTATTTGTTATACATTTGGATTTCATTGATATATCCAAATATTATCATTTTGGAGAGGAAAAACTAGTTGTTTACATTATGCCTATTTTGGCTGTGTCCAAAGTTTCATATCGGTGCCAACAAATTCTGCATGACTTTGGTGGAGCCTAGGCCTTAAACAGCTAAACTGTTTCTAAAACAGTATATTGCTAATTTGGTTCTTTAATGTAGTCATGAATATGGACTCTGGTTGAAAATTATCATGTGGGGAATCCTTACCTTCATATTAAATTATTTGACAACCCAGTGTTATCCTATTTGCACCCAATGCCTCTATCTAGGATCATATTTCCCTAAAATTTTGTCATTCTTCTTTATCTACCTTCACCATGTTACATTTTACTTTTTTTAGGTCTTTTTTACATTTCCAATGTGAAGTAGACCATCCTTCCTACTGAATAAGTGAAGTGTTAAATTTCTCGTAAATTTCATTTTAAAAGACCTTGCTTTGAATGGATTTATTGAAAAAGATATTGTTTGATCCATGTAACTGACCCTATTTAGTGGGATAAGACATTGGTTTTTGTTGTTGTACTTCTGTCCTATAATATTTGAATTGCCATCGTAGCTTACCCAAAAAGGTCCTTGATGGAAGTTTTGTTACGTGAGTTTTCATTATTTTGTGAGCCTCCAAAGTTCTCAGTTTCTTCTGTTTATATATTAGACTTGTACTTTTCCCCTACCTTTTGGCCTTGTCATTTGATTAGATTAATTGTTTATCATTGTATTTTTTGAAGCCATTGTTGCTTGTAACCTTCCTAAGGAATCTGTAGGTTGGTCGAGATGACTTTAAGCTGAATGTTAAACTTCAGCTTTTTGCCCTTGTTGCGAAGCAACCAACCTTTCATCAGCTTCGATCAGTTGAGCAGCTGGGGTACATTACTGTGCTCATGCAGAGGTATGTCGATCTGTAGAATCCCTGATATCCATTTTCAGCATGAAAGAATTGCACTTTTGTTTTTAACTTCGGTTTGGAACATATGTAGGAATGATTGTGGTATACGTGGACTGCAATTTATCATCCAATCCACAGTAAAGGTATTTTCCTCTTTGGAACTAATCTAAAATAATTTATAATTTATGACCTTGTTGCTTAATCCTAGTACTGTACTTGCTTCCCAGGGTCCTGGAAACATCGAGGAGAGAGTTGAGGCATTTCTCAAGATGTTTGAGACGAAACTTCATGAGATGACAATTGATGAATTCAAGGTTTGGTAGTTTGTCCTAATGATATTATTTACTTGTTCCCTAATTATGATTGAATAAAGAATGCTCCTTTGCCATAATTTTGGTAGATAGGCCAGAGCTACTCCTTGCATGTGAGTTTTGAATTCTTGTTGCAAGCATGAACTAAGAACAGGGATCATGATAAAGGATATCTTCATTTTTGCTTGATGTGCACATTCACGTACAATGAGCTTAGGAGCTCATGTGCGTCATCATTTATAAGTAAGGACAGCAATATATGCACATCATTTAGTTTAAATTCAGTTTTACGCTATTTCAATCGATTCACAGGGACTAAGGTGAGTACTGCACAGGATCCAATCCATATGCAGGACTGATGTAAACCCAACCTGTTGACTGAATCACTACTGTATACCGAAAGAGGAAATCAATACTGTTCATTATTATGCTATTCTTAAGTACCATTTATTACTGAAACTAAACTTGAATGTGTTGCAATTTGTCACCTGAAACGTGTATAAATGTGCAGTAGAACCGAAAGCATTGAGGTATCACAAATCTGTGCTTGCTGGAAATATTGCTACTCTCTTATGATCAATGATCCACGAGTATTTTGATAAGATCAATTTGGGAGGACAGTTAGAATCTATTATATGTGATTAGGTTATTTCTCATTTTCATGTATATCAACTTGGCTATGGCATATAACAGGGCTTGGATTATATTTATTGTTAGAGACTTCAAAACCAAACTTGGTAATTGTGTTCTAAATACCAGTTATTCATCTGACTTCTGAACTGCTTGAATGCAGAGCAATGTAAATGCATTGATAGATATGAAACTAGAGAAACACAAAAACTTGAGGGAAGAATCAGCATTTTTCTGGCGAGAGATTAATGATGGTACTTTGAGGTTTGATAGGAGAGACTTTGAGGTAAGAGTCTTGCTACTTTTGTTTCTGTATATATGAAGGTTCCTTCAAGGAGAAAATTTAGGACTTAATTTGGACGAATTGACTTAAAATAAGTACAGAAACTCGGAAGATATACTCTAAAAATGGTATTTTGGCCATAGCATTACACTTCAGCTGAATTAGTGATTCTATTTTGTGGCTTTGGAACAGGTCGAAGCATTAAGGCAGCTCACTCTTCAAGAATTGATAGATTTCTTCAATGAATATGTCAAAGTTGGTGCACCTCAAAAGAAGACATTAAGTATCCGAGTCTATGGGAACCTCCATTCTTCTGAATACAAAGCAGAAGCTTCAGAACCACACTTGGCTAAAATAGATAATATTTTCACTTTTAGAAGATCACAGTCTCTTTATGGTTCATTTAAAGGACTTTCTGGGCAGATGAAATTATAGGGAGCGAATCCTCTATGTTTATAAACACTTCCTCACCTTAAAGAAATTCGTAAATGAAAGAACACCAATGGCATCGGACACTCTCATATCAGCTTGGACAAAATGTTCGCCTTTTCAGTTCATGACATGAGGAAGTGCTATTTATTTGGATTTGAATGATCAGAGTGATGATTTACAATGAGACGAATGGTATCAATTCCATTTCTGGTCTCTAATGTAGATTAATCAAATCATTTTGTAATTTATTATATGATTATTTGCTCAATAAATCACACCAAATAGGTTTTATTTTTTATTTTTTATTTTGTTGTTTTGAAAATAAAAACACTATTTTTGAAAATCGAATTCAAACCTGTCCCAAGTCATTTTTTATTAAAGTCAATTTTTACTCATTTACTGTTTTTTCTCAACTTCTAGTTGTAGATCTACCCCACAGGATTTAGTGATTTGCATACTTCAGAAAATTATTGTGTGGACCCACATACAGCTATACAGTAATTTGCTTAGGTTTCCCATCGAAGATGTAATAAGCGAGAGTACTGTTGAGCCACGTTGAAGATATAACTTTAAACGCTTTATCGAAATCAGCAAACAATTCAATTTAGATAACAAGGTCAATAGGGGACCACGATGATCAAAGACTATGAAATTGACAAATGAAGAACCAAGAATGCTTCAGAACGATGAAATTGCGAACGCAGCGACTCGTTCACAGTTCTAAGGAAAATGAAATTTGTTTATGAGAGGCCTAACATGGGGTAATCTTGCAAATAATATTAATAATTAAAGAAGTTAGAATCTCTTACTATTATTTTTATTTTCATTGATTTACAATTAAATTAATAATTATAAAATAAATCACGTGAGAATAATTGATCTGATTTTTATTCAACAAAAATAAAAAAAATTATATAAGGATTATAAGACAAAAGAATTTAAGAATGGGATAGGATATTGTGACAATCAAATAATGTTACTACCACATCTTAACCGTTGATTTCCGCCAATTAAGATGTGGTAGTAACATTATTTGGTTGTTACAATATCCTATCCCTTTAAAAATATAACATCTCCTTTTATTTTTGTCACTCCAGATGTGGTAAACGATTAAAGACATCACATCCGCAGCATACACCCTTGAACTATACTCCTATTAGTACAAATCATATATAGCCCATGAGTAATTAATTGTAGCCGTGCTTCATCTCTTATTTGTATGAGTTACTTCCAATTTATATTATAATAATTGTCATATGAGTAAGGCCATAAGTAGTGAATAGGAAATAAGCACATACACATATTATACAAAAAATAAAATAAAATAAAGTTTCAAAATCAAAGGAATGAAATATAAATTAGTCAAACTAAAAAAGGAAGATGGGCTAAAAGAAGCGGATGGCTTACAGTGAGCATCCCCAGGGAAGGCTTAACGTGCAGCACTCCAATGTGAACGCCTTTGATGTGAGCAATCATGGGCCAATACTCACCATTTTGAGGCTGACATTTTCGACACAATTCAGGACAACCTTCTATTCCCAAATATTCAAGGGCAGTGAGGTGATGCATGTCACTTGGAAGATCCAACAGTTCAGGACAGTTACGAATGAGTAGAAACTTGAGATGAGTCATTGTGGTCAGCCACTCAGGAAGCATCTTGAGATTAGGAAAATTAGAAATGACCAAGGTCTGTAAAGTGTCCGCAGCTCCTTGAATCCATGGAGGCAATGTCTGTTTCCCTAGAAAATTCCTTAGAAACAAAAACTTCATCCTCAATCTTTGTATTGGGCATTCATAGTTCACTGACATCATCGGACTGTCTTCAACAAACAGAGCCTCCAATTTTGGGAGAATATAGAGAGGAAAGGACCCAAGGCGCCCACATGATCGAACTTGATATTCTTCAAGGGAAGTGAGTTGTGTCCCATTGAACGAAAACTCCAAATTGTCACAATTTTGAAAACTCAAAGTTTGAAGATTGCTTAAGCTTGCAATTTCATTCTGTGACAGAACAGATTGTTTTGTGGTTATAAACAGTCTTCGAAGGCTGATCAGATTCCCTAATCCTTTAGGCAGTGTTTCAAGCTCCATGCATCCTGTGAGTGACAATACTTGCAAATTTTGGAGTTTGCATATAGAATGAGCAAGTCTTTTGATTTTGCAATTATTGGAAAGAATGAGAACTCGCAGATGCTCCAATTTATCAATTGAATTAGGTAGAGTCTCAAACGAAGAATCACGTAAATCTAAATACCGTAAGTATCTGCTGTATCTTGATACCCATGTGTCCAAAAGAGTTTCACTATCAAGATTCACTCCTTCAATGGGAAATTGTATAGTTCTCACTCTTCTGGACTTTGAGAACAAAGCTTGGCTAAGTGAATCATTTTGTACAATTGATAAATGCCTTACTTGCTCAGGTATACTCCTAGTATGGGAGTCTACCACTAGAAACTCCTCTTTCGCAACATATATTGCAAGATCATGCACCAAATCGTGTACTTTGAAACAGTAATAGTGGCCATAGTCTTCAAAATCTTGAAGAAATGATCTTGAATAAAACTCATTTGTATATTGTCTTGCAATATTCTCTGGCTTTTGACTTTCATCTAGGGATTCAAGTAATCCATGCGCCTCCCAAAGATTACAAATTATAAAACTTAAAAAGCCAAAATCTTTGGGAAAAAGGGAAAAGAAAGCAAAACAGTGCCTTAAATGAGATGGCATTTGATCATAGCTTAACTTCAGAGCTGGTAAAATGTCATCTCTCTTTTGTTCTAATTTCCATATCTCATGGTCTCTTATAAATTCCCATTGATCTAAATCAAACTTTGAGAACAGGGAACTTGCTAATGTTCTAATTGCCAGTGGAATCCCTCGGCATTTTTTCACAATTTCTTTTCCGATTTCCACTAGATCGGGATGTTCTTTTTCTTGGCCTTCTTTAAATGACCATTTCACAAATAGGGATAAACTATTCTCAGGGGAAAGACCATCTAGAATACAAGGACGAACATTGCCCATCATTGAAGCAATTGAGTTATTACGTGTTGTCACCATGACTTTGCTTCCTATTGCGCCAACTTTTATTAAACTTTCCAATTCAATCCATTTTGCACGATCTTCATTCCATATATCATCTAAGACAAGTAAGAACTTTTGACCAAAAAGCTTTTGTCTAAGACGACCTTGTAGCTGCTCAATATCCAAGTTGCTAATGTTTTCTTGATGAGCAAGAGCAGTTGGAGCATAAGCTGAAGCCGAATTGATGATTTTGACAATTATCTGCCTAATGTCAAAATCATTAGAGACACACACCCACATCTTCAAAGGGAAAAGCTCATCTATCCTCTTATCGTTAAATACCAACTTTGCAAGTGTGGTCTTCCCCAAGCCTCCTATACCCACTATAGGAATGACACAGAGGCTTTTATCACCATCACCATCACCATTGGGGTGAGGTTGCATCAAAAGTTGGATAATATTTTCCCTCTCATTCTCCCTTCCTATCACATTTGAAGCATCAACATGGGAATAAGTCATTTCTCTCCTTTGCACCACAAGTCTGTGGTCAACATCGATCCTCGCATGAACAAGACCAAACTTATTCCCATCAGCAGCTACCTTATCCAATCTATCCCTAAGTTGTTTGATTTGACGAGCCATCCTAATACGGAAAACAAGAGGATTAGACTTGGAAAAGAAGTGGCATACCTTCATCTTGGTGCTGCCAGAAGCTTTGACCACTTGTTTGCGCAAGGTTTGGCACTCAAATCCATCCAATACATCTTCAGCATCGGAGCAGACATGATGAAGCTGCCTCAGCCATTCACGCAAGCCATGCTTTTGTGCCTTCCTCTCCTCAGCATCCAATAGGACTCCTTTGACAATTAACAAAGTGTCTTTAAACCCTTTCAGATCATCATACACACCATAGGCTCGAGAAGCTTCTTCATAAACATGAGAAGCAAGCTTCTTTAGCAGTGATTCAGCAATACCAAAGACAAATGAGTCGGCCATGTTAATCAGGGTAAGAGCAAAAACGAGGTAGAGATATAAGTTTGTGGTTGTGTTGATTGTGCCTCCAAATCTATACTTGTTTATATAACCAAGTTAACCAATTCAACCCGCCAAGCCTTTCTTTCTTCAAAATCAATTTTTACTTTATTCCTTTTTCTATTATCAAATTCCATGTTCAGGGGGTTATGCATTGTTCACAGAACCTGATTCCTCTCTCTCCGTCATACCCAAATAATCATAAAAGGATAAAGCAAGGCATCTTCTGCCCTCTAAATTTTACTTGTCAACAGTAAGTGTTACGTCTCTCTTTCCTTTAGGAATCATCCCTATTTTTCTTCCTTTGGATGTAGTATTGAACTTTATGGACTTTTGGGTGAAACCCATCTTAAGTAAGGAATCTAAGTTTGATTGGTTTCTAGAAATTGATGAGCAAGCCTGTTATGTTATGTATACGAGCTCTTAGTTTTCTGTCATTTTCTCCTGCATTTGAATTTCAATACTCTGAATAAAAACAATCATATCCAAATATGTTTATTAGGTTAAGCTCTAGGATACATGTCTCCTGCCACAATGACTCTTATGGTAATTGGTTTCTCACACAGTTGATTGTTATTAGCTGTTATGAGCAATTATTTATAATCTAGTTGTTAAATATGTTATTTATTATAGTTGCAGATTCATTTTATGAAAGAATAATTAATAATAGTTAGTAACTTTGTCAGCAAAGTCTCTTGGCGATGCCTTTCATTTGTTGATGTTTTGAAAACTTAGAATTGTTGCTTTAATGAAATCTGTTCTATTTTCCTTCAATATAAGCTCCTGTCGTTTTGCCAGTTCATAAAAAAAGAAAAAAAAGAATACCATTTGCTGGTAACCTCACTCGCGTGTAATACTAATAATAGTGTCATGGATGTATTTGGAATTTAGAAATTCAAAGAGCTAAAATGAATTTGCTAATGAATTGAGATGGGAACGAGAGAGTATGACGGCAATAACTCTACATTTTGGCCTATTAGGGGTGTGCATGACAACCATTCTATTCCCGAGCACTGTTTCTGAAAAGAAACAATTCTTTTCTATTTCTGTGCTTTGGAACAGTTTCTGAAAAAAAAATGTGTTTGATAACATGTTCCATTTTTATTCCGAGAATGAGAATTGTGTTTGATAACACAACAAATAATATAATAAAAAATAATTCCTATTAAATATTAAAAAAAAAATCGGATCAACTCTTTCCTTTCTATATGGTGTGGTTGTGGTGGTGGCGGCGGTGGTGATACGGTACTGGTGGTGGCAGTGACGTGGTGAAGATAATGGTGGTGGTTGTGACGGCAGTGGTTGCGACAATGGCGGTGATAATGGTGGCAGCAGCGGTGGTAGTGGTGGTGGAGGTGACGGCAGTGACAACGACAATGGTGGTGGGTATGGTGGTTGGTGGCGGCAACAATGGTAACAATGACGTGGCGGTGGTGGTTGTGAAGGCATCATGGTGGTGGTGGTGGCAGTGGCTGCGGCGGTGGTGATGGTGACGGTGGTGGTGGCGATGGCTTGGTGATGGTAGTGGTGGCGTTGGTGTAATGGTGGCGATGGTGGTGGTGATGACAGTAATGGATGTGACGATGGTGGTGGTGGTTGGTGGCGGCAGCGATGGTGGTGAAGACGGTAGTGGTTGCGGCAATGGTAGTGGTGGTTGGTGACAGTGGTGGTGATGGTAGTGGTGGCGTCATGGTGGTGGTAGTGATGGCGATGGGGGTGGTGGCATTGGCGTGTGATGGCGATGGTGGCGGTGACGACAATGGTTGCAATGATGGTGGTGGTGGTTGATGGCGGTGATAGTGGTGGCGGTGGCGGCGAAGGTATTTGTGGTGGTGGTGGCATGGTGGTAGTGATGGGTGGAGTTGGAGGTAATGGTGGTGGTGAGGGGTGGTGACGGCGGCACTGGTGGTAGGATGGCGACAGCGACGATGGTGGCGACAGCCGTGTTGGGATGATGGTGGTGGTGGTGATGATGATGATAGAGGTGGAGAGTGATTGAGAGAGATAAGTGTTTCTCATTTTGAGTCCGGGAACAAAAAAGCAGAAATTTTTTGATTCTTTTTTCTGTTCTCTAGCACAAAAATTTAACCGGTTCATCCCGGGAACAAAAAAATAAACCGGTTTTACCAAACGAGTTTCCTATCCATTTCTGTTCCCGGGAATAGAAATTAAAAAAGAATTGATTCCGGGAAGGTTGTCATGCGCACCCTAGATGTAACAAGAATTTGGATGAAAAACTTATAAAAATATATACGGAACTTAATTATCCAATTTGCTACTTTTTATTCTTTTTCGAGTGTAGTTGCAACCAACCTAATCAAACTCGAGTTTTTACATAGAAACAAAAAAGGTGTTAGAAACGTAAAACGTATAAATGATATGAAACGTAAAGTTTATATTACAAAATTATATATATGCATGTAAAAAAAATATTAAATAATGAACATGTGTGTTAAGTCACTTATCTATCTAAAAAGAAAAATTATTTTTAAAAACCAAGTATCAAAATTATAAACAGTGATAACTAACAAATAATGGATAATCAATCTGCTCTAACTGCTTCATATACTCTGCAAATTTTGGATCATCGCTCATTAGTATATAATTCAACTTCTTTCACTGTACACAATGATCCAAAAACACAAAACAATTCTCATAGCATAACTTATAATAGAATTACAGCTTTATAAGACATAATTATAAAAGACATATATCCAAACAAAAAGATATCAAGATACTATGCAAGTATGCATATGATTTGGGGAAAACGAAAATTGGGTTTTTTTTAAATTTCTTTTTTTGTAAATTTTTTTTTTTAAATTTTTTTCGTTTTAAGTAAAAATGGTCAAAACGGTAAAAATGTAAGTTTTTACGCTTTTACATGACGTTTTTATCAATTTTTACCAAGGACCGTTTTTTACTTGCGTTTTAACACGCATCACTCTAGTAAAAACGTAAAAATGTGTAAGTTTTTATGTTTTTACACTAGTTTTTGACAACAATGCTCTTTTCATGTCCTCACAGTTCTATATACTTTTATTATATGTATATAAGAGATAAAATTATCTCCTACAATATGAAAAACATTCATCGCTTTACGAGAAACATTAATTCGATAGTGGTTAGCGATGATGTAATGGCTAAAGGGAGGAGAGAGAAATAGTGAGAGCCTGAGAGGTAATGGGAGAGAAAAAAAAGGTATAAGAGTTTATTTTTAGGGAAAAACAAATATTATGTCGTAGGAAAATTCTTAGGTCATGTCATAGAGACAATCAATTGTGAGGGCCACTATATATATTTTTTTTTTTTTGATAACATTAAGGGGCGAAGCCCCAAACAAAAACAAACTAACAACCAGAAACAAAAAATAACTATCCAGGGTCTATATCCCTACAAGAGGAGATTCCCTGAAGATCGTGATCAAATAACTGAGCAAGGTGAAACGGCATAACTCTATGACTCCAGAATCCAGTATCTTTGTGAAGAGCAGACTTGGCTAACCAATCAGCACATGAATTAGCTTCTCTTGGAATATGAGAAAGCGTTACCTCCCAATCCTGACCGATGAGTGCTTGTATCTTAGCCACTATACGAGGCTGACAAGCTGCATTGCAATCAGCAAGCAAAGAGAATATTGATGGGCCCACTTTTATATGTTTATAAAAAAATTAGGCTTTTTAATCCTTTTGTCCCTCATTAATTAATTAATAATCATTTTACCCCTTATTGAAAACTATCTATCAATCTGCCCCTCTTTAATCGATTAAATTGAATATTTAATCGATTAAATGGTCAAAACTGACAAAAATCATTGACTTGAAAATTTAATCGATTAAATTTTCAACTTAATCAATTAAATATCCAATTTAATAGATTAAAGAGGGACAGATTGGTAGATAGTTTTCAATAAGGGGTAAAATAGTTATTAATTAATTAATGAGAGGCAAAAAACTTAAAAAGCCAAAAAAATTGTTTGTGTCACGTAAAAGGAGGAAAACATTACCCTTATTTATATCATAAATCTTCATGGTTGGACAAGATTATAATCTGACGGTATTAAGAGATTATACAAAGATAGACAAAATAAAAAGCCAAAAAAATGTTTGTGTCACGTACAAGGAGGAAAACATTACCCTTATTTATATCATAAATCTTCATGGTTGGACAAGATTATAATGTGACGATATTAAGAGAGGTATACAAAGATAGACAAAATAAAAGTAGACACGATAACCTATCTCTAAAATTTAACCCTTCAATTTTCCAAAAAAATAAAATATAATTTAACCCTGCAAAAACCCTAAAACCCTAACCGGGTCATTGTGATAAACTCTGATGGCGTGCAATGGCTCTGGTTGCCAATCCGGTTGCCAATCCGGTTGCTACAAAGACGAAGAAGCAACATCTAAACAGCTAACAGATTCTGTTGAAACCGAATCAACGAGCCCTAGTATTCTCTGCATCAAGTGCAAGCAAAACGACGCCGTTTCCGGCTATGGCGGAATCGACGATGGGCGGTTCTGTGCCGATTGCTTCAAGAGCAACTTGTTCGGGAAGTTTCGGTTCTCCGTCACATCAAACGCCATGATTTCTCCCACCGATAATGTCCTCGTTGCCTTCTCAGGCGGTCCTTCTTCCAGGTAAAAACAAATCCAATCCTCTTTTCTGTTTTTCAATTTATTGCATTATTTGAAATGTTGGGTTAATTTCAATTTTGATAGTTATATCTTGTAAATGATAAAAATGTATGCTTTTTATTTTTTTAGGGTAGCTTTGCAATTTGTGCATGACATGCAGGAGAGGGCTCAGAAGAACTTTGATGCTAGTAGAGATAGGTCATTGCCTGTGTTTGTGGTTGGAGTTGTGTTTATTGATGAGAGTGCTGTTTTGCCGATTCCTTCTAATGAAATGGAGGAGGCAATTGAATTTATTAGTTCGGTTGTGTCAAGTATAGCCCCACCAGCAAAAGAGTTGCATATTGTTCCTATTGAGTCTGTTTACAACTCAGATTCTAGTGATGGAAAGGAGAGGCTAATCAAGCTAGTGAATGCGGTGAGTGATCCAACTGGAAAGGAGGATATGTTACTTTCTCTGCGCATGTTGGCCCTGCAAAAGGTTTGTTTCTGGATTTCATGCTATTATCTCAGTTAGAAGCTTATGTTCATATGTACATGTTTATTTGAAATTCTTCATCACTGTCCAGGTTGCTTCTGAATTTGGATATAACAGACTTGTACTAGGATCATGCATTTCAAGGATTGCTTCCCATGTCATTTCAGCCACCGTGAAGGTTTGTTATTGGATTTGACTGAGTCAAAGTCATTAGCAGTAGTAAATTAAGGATCTTCTGCCATGGGTCATGAATCATGAATCAGAAGAGGGCAAATTGAATGTTCTGTGGTCTAGCATAGTATACTTGGCTGCTATGTGATATGTATGCTCTGCCGAATTACTTATTTTTGTTTTTTCATAAGTGCTTTGTCTAGTTTCTCCTTAAAGCATCATAGTAGAACAGTACAGTTAGTTTTTGAAGTTATTAGCATTCTCTTTATGTGCATCTCTTTTGTTGCATTAACTCCCCGGGTAAACATTTTGTAAGGTGGATTGTGGATAAGAGGCTTTAGGCATTTGTTAAACTAATCTTCAAAAGGTAAAATTATTAGGTTGCTGTGTTTACTGAGCTTAAAATTTTTAGGGACTATCACTGACGGAACTTTTGCATTTGGTTAATACAATTCAATTTTTATATTGCATTTATCTGAAGAATATAATATATGCTGTAGGTTGATCTCAATATGATGAGATTGAAAATGCATGTGAACTATTTGAACTGAACAGCCCTCACTACAAGCTGATGCATGTACTAAGCAAATGTTTTAGCCTCCTCTTATTTTTAATTTTTTTTAAGCTAAGCTTTATGCAATTATGTGGATTTTAGGATTCTTGTCCACATTGCACCTTTATAAAATCCAATTGTGTTGCGTACATTTTGTAGTAATCTTTATGACGTTGTCTATGTTTCTCCTTTCTCTTTCAGTCTACTTAGGAAATTACCTTACATAACAGCTTCTTGTGTCCTTTGTTTTAACAGGGTCAAGGATATTCATTACCTGCAGATATACAGTATGTGGATGCTAGATGGGAAATTCCTGTTGTGCTTCCTCTGCGTGATTGTTTTGCCCAAGAGATCAACATGCTTTGCCACCTTGACGGGTTTGTAATCCTCTGGCCATTAACATTTACAACAATAAAATTTGGTGTCTTTTTGTTTTTTCTGTTTAAAGTTTTGTGAAATTTCACATTATTTTGCATGTATTGTCTTCTTTGTTTGTCAGTCTGAATTATATAAATCTTACTGAATGGATGTGTCTCATATCTTTGGCAGGGCAGTCTCAAGACTATAAAGTTGTCTACAGGTCCGTGCTCTAGCATTAATAGCATCACCTCATCTTTTGTGGCATTATTGCAGGTATAACTTGCTGTACCTTACTCCTCTGATATTTAGCAGGGTTATCTTTAGCGATGACTGATGGGTTTTAAGCTTAGTAGAAAAATCAGTCATGACCTGTTTAATGAGTGTTTTAATCTGAGCTATTTGTTTTTATTAGACTCCTCATCTTTGGCATCAAGTTCTATGACTTGATATGCCCCATATATACAGCTATATATATGTATGTGTTTGTCTTTGCAAGTACAATCGGAGGGCAAATCTTACATACAATAGCTTGTGGTGGCTCTAAATTTATAACTTTTTTGTAGAGTACATTATTTTTCTTCAGGGTCAAGAAGTTTATTAATAAATAGGCGATGGTTTTACACAATATGTGGCTTAATGCCTGCCTTTTTATGGAATGTGATGTGTCAGACTACATATTCAATACAGAATTTTAAGTGTTCTCTTTTACGGGTTGAGATGGAACATGCTTATGTTGATTAGAATTTATTTTTCCTTTTAATAAAAGCTTAAATTTAATTTACAAGTAAGTAATTGAATACCAGTGTTGCAGGAAGAAAACCCATCTCGAGAGAGCACAATTGTAAGAACAGCCACGAAACTTATTCCCTTCCAATTCAACAGGATTCCAGAGATCGTTGATGGTAATGTTCCCTTGGCAACTCGAAGACGCCAGAAGAGATATAATCTCAAATCCAACGAATCTGTTTCCTCAGAATCTTTCTGTCCTCTCTGCAATAGCCCACTCCACAAGTGTGAGATTGTTGACCGGAGCAATCTTGATAATTTTAGAAGTAGTGACATTTTTTATACTACCTGCTGTTCAAGTTGTCAGTTTCAGATACTTCCAAGAGATTCCACGTCAATTGAGCAGTTTTATATGGATTTACCTCAATCGGTGATTGCCCGAGCAAAGCAAGCTAACAATGGTAATTTGAGTCTGCTAAGGTGAGTATTGGTTTAATTCATTGCATTTCAAAATTGGTAATAAGTCAGATTCCACTGGGCAATCTAGAAAACCCTAATTTTAGTATGGCACGAAATGCTATCTGTTTTCTTATAGTTAACTTTGCCCAGTATATGTTAAATGAAAGTAGGGTATATAAGAATATGGGAATTTTGGAGAATCTGTTTCTTTGCTATTTTTTGTCAAATCGAGTGGATCATTTTGGTAGCCATGAGTCCATGACTGATAGGAAATGAAGTTCCTAAATGAAATTGTAAGAAATTAAGGGTGTGTTTGATTGTGTTTTGGTTTTTTTGTTCTTAAAACTGTTTTGTAGAATAGTTATAGAAACAGTTGTTTTTTGTATTTTGAAAATTAAAAACCAAAACAGAAAACAAAAACAATTTAGACGTGTTCTCCAAATTTGATTCTAAAAACAAAAAAAACAGTTATAGTTTTTAAAATATTTTTTCCAAAACAAGCTTTACCAAACGAGTTTTTTTGTTTTTTTGTTCTGAAAACTAAAAAACTATTTTTAAAAACACTAATCAAACAGAGCCTTAGGTTATACTATCAATCTTTGGTTTTTTTTTTTTTCCTGGCTAGGGGTTCTTTGACATGTTCAAGTTTACGGTTATACTGTAATACATCATTTAATGTTTTGTTGCTGTTCTTCGGTGGGAACACAATTAATGAGTTATGTTCAATTTATTATTACTGGTTTTCTCTGAAGTATACTTGAGAGATTCTACTTGTTTTGTGGTAGGAACTTCAGGTGTCGATTTTTCTTCATGACATCAAAGTTTACCTGTCAATATTCTTTTTTTTTCAGGGAACAAATACAAGATTGTTTGCTTTCAGATGGTGAAGATGAAACATAGATTTTCTTGCCTACACTGAGGCTTTCAGTTCAATGGATAAATACTGGTTGTAGTAATTTAATTTACTGTTTGAGTGACTTGTGAGGTTACTTTTAACCACTGAGATTCACTGGGCTCCTTAAGATCATGGTTGTTGATTCTCTGTTATATCATTTGAGAACATATTTAAGTATTAATAAAGTGATAGATGAGATAACTGATTTTTTAATCTGTCAGTTTGAAGAGGGTGATAAAGTTGACTGCAGAGTCTCGTTGGGGACATCAAGATGTTCTTCATTCTTAACTTTCAAGCTTATTTGAGTATTTTCTTATGTGGTTATTTGCGTCTACTATTTCATTTATAATGACACTACTAAAAATTCATGTAGTGGGAGTGTCATTCCCCCTCCCCCCTCCCGTCCCAAAAATTAATAAAATAAAATAAATAAACGCCAAAAGAAAAAAGTAATAATAAAAAAGTGAAAACTTTATTTTACAATTTTTGAATAGTATGAAATTTTTATTTATTTTCCGTTGTAGATGTTTCAAACCTGCAGGTGGAACACATATTCTAAAGAGTAAATACTATTTTTGGTCTCTGACAAATTTCACAAATCTTTTTTGGTCCCTAGCAATAAAAAAGGGAACTTGTGGTCCCTTAAATTTTAAAAAACAAGCCACGTTAATTCTTCTGTTAGTTGGCATCCAACGACCAATGTAACGCTGTACACTTGTCACGTTAGTTTGCTGACTCATAATGAAACAGTCTATCGTGGAAAAAATACGACAATGTTTTGAAGATGAGTTGAATGTGTGTACTATAAGCAGAAGACGTTGTTCCTTAAGATTATTCATCCACTACCTTGGTTGTTACTGTTGTGACGCACTAACTATACTGGTTACTTGCGAAGAACCCCCAAGTTTACTCTTGAGCTTCATTATTGGTCAGCATTGTGAGTTGGGGTGGTTTCTGGGTGGAGATCGCGCGCTTACTTGGAAGGATTTGGAACACGGCTGCTTTTTTGGTGGTAGGAGGAGAGTACGATTGTACATGCAAGAAGGTACGTGTTGTTAGAAATTGAACTTTATATGTGGTCCTCCCCTCACAATGTATCTGTAATTTATGTTGAATATGATCCCCCATGTGTGGTCCCTGCTAAAGTTATGGTTAGGGTTTAGAAAATACAAACCATTTTATGTATGTGATCCCCTTTTGAGTAATGTGTTCGCATTTTTTAGTGTTTTGTGGACCCTCATGTTGGTTAAATGAATTGCATGCCTATTTTGTAAAGCTGACAAGTTTTTGTCTGTTTCCACAATTTACTGTATGTTTCTCCGCGAGTGTTGAGTTATATAGGCATCTTGATGTTGTATTAAAAACTGATTGTTTGGTAATAATGTGAAATAAAATTGCTTGGTAATGTGGTAGTGTGAAGTAATGGCAATGTAGTCTGTTTATTTTACAAATGGATGAATATATAGTGATAAGGTATCATCATGGGAGTGTGTTGGTGAGAAATGATGAAGGGGTGCTAACATATGTAAATGGTATAGTAGATTATTTACCAGAGATGGATGCTGACTTTGTGAACCTGCGTGACCTTGAAACTCTGTTCAAGGGTTATGGGTATGAGAGTTGTAAACAGATGTTGTGGCTCAAGCCAAATGAGTCTGATTTAGAGGTAGGTTTAAGACCTCTTAGTAAGGACTCTGATATTGTAGAAATGGTTAAGGTTGCCTTAGCTAATGAACAAGATAGATATATATTTTGAAGATTGCATTGCAATCCCTGATATTGTAGCACCTGCACCTGTAGAAGGGAGTGATGAGTTAGAATGTGATAGTGGTGATGATGAAAGGGTGCATGGTGATTCATTTGGCAGTGGATCTGATCATAGGACCTCTGGTGATGGATATGATAGTGGAGATGACAATGGATTGTCTAGTGATTCATATGACAGTGTAGAGGATGAGCTATATAAGCCTCCTCCCCTAGGTTTGGAGGACCAAACAGAGGACGAAGAGGAGTATGATTGTATACCTCAGGCTACTAAAAAAAAAAGGTGTGACAAAAAGAAAAGAAAAAAAAAGGATGTTGAGCAGCAGGCAAGGGAAAAAAACATGGAAGAGGATGAGCCATATCAGCCTTTGCGAGGAATTGAGGTGTTAGATCATGAGGAGGATGGCAGCACATCAAAGGGTTTTGGGAACTATTAGAGGTAAAATTGCTCCTACACAACAGAAAAAGATGGATCAATTAAAGGTACTCAGCAATTCATGGACATCTACATGGACGGGGAATATGCATCAAGATATCTATGAAGTCAGTGGCAAATGTGAGAGGGTTGGAGTGAATTTAACAACTCAAACTTGTGCCTACAATGCATGGCAGCTGACTGGACTGCCATGTGAGCATGCAATAGCAGTCATTTGTCACAAGAATGAACCTGCTGAGAATTATGTGCATCAATGGCTTATAGTGGATGCTTTGCATGCCACTTATGCACACACATTGAACCCAGTAAATTCTAACCAGTATTGGCCTTCATTTGATGAACCCAAACCTATTCCTCCACCACCGAAAAGGCCAATTGGGCGTCCCAAGAAACACAGGAGAAAGGACTCAAGTGAAGAACAAGGTAGCAGTGCAAAGAAAGTGAAAAGGACCTATGCAGCTAAATGTCCAAAATGTGGTGAGCTTAGTCACTATGCGAAGACATGTAAGGGACCAACAACTAGTAAGACAGGGAAGAGACTAGCAAGACCAGCAAATCTGGAGGTATACACAATAGTTTGCCTCCCACATTTACACCTTCGATCGGCAGTCCTTGTCAGGGTTCTACCCCCAATTGAAGAACTTCCACTTGAGCCCCTTATGCCAGAAGAAACACTCATCTTCTCCTACGCCCAACCAAATCTAGTATTTAACTTCTACCGTTGTCAATTTACAGACATGAACGTGCGGAGCTTTTGGGGAAATTTTTAGGTTACAACTGATTTAGGGTTCTGAATTTACCCCCTTGTTGGGTCAGGTTGGTCACAATGCTACGTCAGGTCTACGGTCAACGTCCATGGAGATGCAACTCATCTTCAAAACGTCGTCGTATTTTTTCCACGGTGGACTGTTTCATTCTGAGTCAGCAAACTAACGTGACAAGTGTGCACCGTTACATTGGCCGTTGGATGCCAACTAACAGAAGGACTAACGTGACTTGTTTTTTAAAATTTAAGGGACCACAAGTTCCCTTTTTTATTGCTAGGGACCAAAAATAGTTTCGTGAAATTTGTCAGAGATCAAAAAGAAAATTTACTCTATTCTAAATTGTCATGTTACCAGCCTCTTGTCCTTAAAATGGTTTTCAAATTAGCCATTGTTAGAGGATTGCGCATATATCAAAAGGGAAAATTATGATTTAGGAGCTTGAGCAAAACATAAAAGGAAATTATTTTTTCATGTTGTTGGAGGTTGTTTTCTTATGTTGTGAGGTATCGAAATTTTTATTTATTTATTTATTTATTTTTAACAAATGGTGAATTTCATCACTTGTTGTGTCTATAACATGAAAGATGTTACCTCATGTGATATGAGAAAAGATAGGCTCAAAACACAAATTAATTTTATTATTTAAGGAACATTAATTACTTCAGTGATTAATTATGTTTGAGAAGTTTGTACTTTGTTGTGGCCGGCTCTCATCTAAAGTTCTAGATAAACACGAAACCAAGCAGCAAAATACTGTTATATTTTCACGTTTTTGGCTCAACCTTATTTTTTTTCATAAATATTGTTATGGATTTAATTTTTATTGCATAAAATTAAGGGAAAAGTTCAAAAATTGCAATTTTATTTAGAATCATTTATTCTTTATATATATTTTTAATTATTTAATACTTTGATTTATTTTTATTTAAATTCATTCTTAATACAGTTAGAAATTCATTCTTTTAATTATTGCATAAAATTAAAAGAAAAGTTCAAAAATTTCCATGCTGTTTTGTTTTCAATCACTTACTTCTTATAAATTTTTTTTAATCATTTAATATTCTATAATTTTTTTTCATTCAAACTCATTCATAATATCGTTAGAAATTTAATTTATTTATTTATTTATCTTTCTTAAAAAAAAAGAGTGATTGACAAAAATAATATCAAATATATTAGAAATTTACAATATTTGCGTAAAAAAATAATAAATTATTGCAGCAAAGTCTTCAGTTACGTTTCTCTAGTAGCCAATATTATGCGGATATCATCATGCTTGCTTTTTGCTCTGTTCTGCTCAGCTAAGCCAAAATGCAATTAATGAAAATAAGGTAATAATTAAGAAAAAAGATATAAATATTCCCTTATTAACTTCAAGTAAGGTGCATTTACACTCAAGAATTTCCTGTAGTATGCAAATCGTGTAGGCTACGTTTAGAATTAGAAGTTAAAAAAACAGTAAATAATTAAAGGGAAATACTACTCTCATTTTACATGAGGTAGTTATCTCATTTTCTCTCACTTCGAAAATCATGCCCCTTCTTTTTTTTTCTTTTTCTTTTTTGCTTTTAAATAATGGGCCCTACTTGAATTCTCTTTGTAACATGAGAGAACTACTCTCGTGACGTTACATGAGAGTAATATTAACCATAATTAAAAATTGTCTTTTGAAGAAAGAAAGACTTAGTAAGTCTGTTGGTTGACTTGTATCTGTGGATGGTGTATGTATATCCCGTTAGCATCTACCGATATACACCACACAATCTAACCTCTTAAAGAAAGAAAGAAAGAATTGGAAGCACAATCAACACAACCGCAAACTTGTATCCAAACTCTGTTTCTGCTCTTTCCCGTTTGACATGGCCAATTCATTTGTCTTCGATGTTGCTGAATCCCTGTTGAACAAGCTTGCTTCTCATGTTTATGAAGAAGCTTCTCGAGCCTATGGTGTGTATGACGATCTCAAAGGGTTCAAAGATACTTTGTTAATTGTAAAAGCTGTATTATTGGATGCTGAGGAGAAGAAGGAACTAAGCCATGCCTTGCGTGAGTGGCTGAGGCAGATTCATCATGTCTGCTCCGATGCTGAAGATGTTTTGGATGGATTTGACTGCCAAACCTTGCGCAAGAAAGTGATCGAAGCTTCTGGCAGCACCAGGATGAAGGTAGGCCACTTCTTTTCTAAGTCTAATCCTCTTGTTTTCCGTATTAGGATGGCTCATCAAATCAAACAACTTAAGGATAGATTGGATAAGGTAGCTGCTGATGGGAATAAGTTTGGTCTTGTTCATGAGAGGATTGATGTTGACCACAGACTTGTGGTGCAAAGGAGAGAAATGACTTATTCCCATGTTGATGCTTCAAATGTGATAGGAAGGGAGAATGATAGGGAAAATATTATCCAACTTTTGATGCAACCCCACTCTGATGGTGTTAAAAGTCTCTGTGTTATTCCCATAGTGGGCATTGGAGGTTTGGGGAAGACCACACTTGCTAAGTTGGTGTTCAATGATAAGAGGATAGATGAGTTTTTCCCTTTGAAGATGTGGGTATGTGTCTCTAATGATTTTGACATCAGGCAGATAATTATTAAAATCATTAATTCTGCTTCAGATTCTGCTGCAAGTACTGCTCTTGCTCACCATGAAAACATTAGTAACTTAGATATTGAGCAGCTACAAGGTCGTCTTAGACATAAGCTTTCTGGTCAAAAGTTCCTACTTGTCTTGGATGATATATGGAATGAAGATCGTGCAAAATGGATTGAATTGGAAAGTTTAATAAAAGTTGGCGCAGTAGGAAGCAAAGTCATAGTGACAACACGTAGTAACTCAATTGCTTCAATGATGGAAAACGTTTCCTCGTATGTTTTAGATGGTCTTTCCCTTGAGAATTGTTTATCCCTGTTTGTCAAATTGGCATTTAAGGAAGGCCAAGAAAACAAATATCCAAATCTAGTGGAGATCGGGAATGAAATTGTGAAAAAATGCCAAGGGGTTCCTCTAGCGGTGAGAACATTAGCAAGTTCCCTTTTCTCAAAATTTGATTTGGATCAATGGGAATTTGTAAGAGACCATGAGGTATGGAATTTAAAACAAAAGAAGGATGACATTTTACCAGCTCTTAAGTTAAGCTATGATCAAATGCCATTCCATCTGAGGCATTGTTTTGCTTACTTTTCCCTTTTTCCCAAAGATTTTGACTTTTTTACTTCTAGAATTGGTAATCTTTGGGCGTCGCATGGATTACTTGAATCCAAGGATGGAAGTCAAAAGCCAGAGAATATTGCAAGACAATATATAGATGAGTTGTATTCAAGATCATTTCTTCAGGATTTTGTTGACTATGGCTACTTTTACTCTTTCAAAGTGCATGATTTGGTGCATGATCTTGCACAGTATGTTGCGAAAGAGGAGTTTCTAGTGGTAGACTCCCGTACTCGAAGTATACCTGAACAAGTAAGGCATTTATCAATTGTACAAAATGAGTCACTTAGCCATGCTTTGTTCCCCAAGTCCACAAGAGTGAGAACTATACTATCTCCCACGAAAAGAGTGGGTCTTGTTGGTAAAACTCTTTTAGATACATGGTTATCAAGATACAGATACTTACGTTATTTAGATTTAAGTGATTCTTCGTTTGAGACTCTACCTAATTCAGTTGATAAATTGGAGCATCTGCGAGTTCTCAATCTTTCCGGTAACTACAAAATCAAAAGACTTCCTCATTCTATATGCAAACTCCAAAATTTGCATGTATTGTCACTCGCAAGATGCATGGAGCTTGAAACACTGCCTAAAGGATTAGGGAATCTGATCAGCCTTCGACGACTGTGTATAACGACAAAACAATCTGTTCTGTCACAGAATGAAATTGCAAGCTTAAACAATCTTCAAACTTTGAGTTTTGAATATTGTGACAATTTGGAGTTTTCGTTCAATGAGGCACAACTCACTTCCCTTGAAGTATTGGAAGTTCTATCATGTGGGCGCCTTGGGTCTTTTCCTCTCTATATTCTCCCCAAATTGGAGGTTCTTCTAGTTAAAAACAGTCCAATGATGTCAGTGAACTATGAATGCCCACTCCAAAGATTGAGGATGAAATATCTGAATCTTAATGATTTTCCAGGGATAGAAACATTGCCTCCATGGATTCAAGGAGCTGCGGACACTTTACAGAGCTTGTTCATTTATAATTTTCCTAATCTCAAGAGGCTTCCTCAGTGGCTGACAACAATGGCTCATCTTAAGTTTCTAGGCATTTATAACTGTCCTGAACTGTTGTATCTTCCAAGTGACATGCATCGCCTCACTGCCCTTGAATATTTGGGAATACATGCTTGTCCTGAATTGTGTCGAAAATATCAGCCTCAATATGGTGTGTATTGGCCCATGATTGCTCACATCAAACGCCTTTACATTGGAGAACCATGAGGAGAGAAGGAACGAAGGTAAAAATATTATTTTGTCACTAAACATTGGCACACTTTTCAATCATATCCACTTTTACAATATGTTTGGTATGGAGCTAGAGAAATTAATGGTTCGCCGTGTGTAAAGCTATTATTAATAGATATTTGCATTTCTAACGTTAGCCTCCTGAATATTTCAACTATAAATTAGAGAAAGAATAGATAATAAACTTTATTGTATTTAAATTTTCTTGACATTAAGTCCTACGTGGGAAAGCCCACATCAATTTACTGATAGTTGTTGTAGAAGTTGGTTAGTTCAGTTTGAAGCAGTTAAGAGCTTCATTTTCATCAATTGAATGAAATCGCAGATTTTTAGTGGTAACATTGTGTAAATTTTCATGGAGATAAAGTTTAATCGGAAAAAAAGAGAGTACATGTTTGGTTTATCAGTAAAAGAGGAAGACTTTTTGACAGTAACCTTTCCCTCATTTACAGGTAAGGTAGAATGTAGATGAAGAGGGAGATGAAGAGGCTTCAAGAACACCATGAGGAGAAGATAAATGCCAGCGAAACACTTTAGATTCTCAGGAATCAGGAATGAGGATGGAAAATAATTGTTTCCATCAGCATGTTTGGTTTGATGTAGCCCAAGAATTGAAAATGATTATTTTATTCCATCCCTGTATTACTCAAAACATACCTAAGAAAAGTCAGCATTTGTCATTTGTTTAAGGTGATTTAAATGGCCATAGCTTTTATTTGTCATTAAGGAATGGAGCCTTTTGGTGAATCTCCTCTGTATTATTGCAGGCCATGATTTAAGTATTCAAAAAGTTGGGAGTTGGTATAGTAAATTATTCTGTTTGCATAAAGAGTCTAACATTTGCAAGATGCATGAATTTTGAAAGATTGAACAAAAATTTATTAAATCATGATTGGTCTCAACTTAGGAATAAACACCATAAAACAGTGTGTGGTCTGAGACTGGAAAAGCAAATTTGACTTCTCTTCATATTATGAAAACCGATATCACGTCTTTATTTGAAGAGATACATCACTTCATTTCCCTTTTCATTGATTTGTTGCAAAATTACAAATCTCTCAAGCATTAAGGTGTTTTCACTGGATTTTTATTTGATTGTGATTGACTTTGTTTGAATTTTTGGTATTTTATTTATTCTCTCTAAATTTTATAAAAAGACTCTAACAATCTTCATATGTAATCTTCAAGATTTTAAATTAAAACTGAGCAAGTTTTAAAGATAAGCTTAAAAGGAGACTTTATCCAAAAATTAACTTGTGTGCTGTGTGGGAAATTATAAATTTATGCACAACTTAGATCATGTCATAAGTATCGTATAATAATCAATATTTCTCCTGCTAGGAATAAAGGTTAATACTTGATAGCAGTGGAATTTATTGCATGACTTCTCTAGCTTTTGGTTATACTCCTAGACATTGCTTATTGTTTTGCTGCAGTATTCTTATTTCCTGGGAACAAAGGCAAGATTATTGCTTTCAGATGGTGAAGATGAAACTTAGATTTTCTTGCCTAAACCGAGTCTTCCAGATCATGGTTGTGGATTCTCTCGGATATTACTTGAGAGCATATTTAAGTATTAATAAAGTGATAGATGAGATAACTGTTTTTGTTTTAATCTCTAGCAATTCGAAGAGAGTGTTAAATTGAGAGTTGACTACAGATACTTGTTTTTTTAGTTTTTTGGATACAAATACAGATACTTGTTCGGGCATCGTGGTGTTCTTCATTCTTAAGAAGCTGTTTTCAAGCTTATTTTGAGTATTGCTTAATTGGTTAATTGCGTGTCTATTGTATTACAACTGAAATGCCTTTAACTATCTCAGATGACATTGAGAAGTGCACTAGAATGCTCATATGGGGGGTCCAGTTCTGGTCACAGGAAAATTCATTTAGTGAATTGGGACCAATTATGTGCACCGGTCAAGCAAGGTGGATTGGGACTCAAGCAACTTCGTTTATACAACAAAGCCTGGGTTATGAAACTTGATACCTTCTCTAAAAGAGGGGCATGATTCATCTAATTTATGGAAAGGAATCACAAGAGCTTGGAAAGATATTCAAGGTGTGGATGTAGAATCCACTTAGAAAATGGTCGTTCAACTCTTTTTTTGGTTGGATAAGTGGCTTCCAAACATTGACAAACTCATTGATGTGTCCATTCATCAGGTTCCTGAGGATCCACGCCAAATGACAATTGCTGAACATGTAGCACCAGAAGGAACTATATAAAGGGATAGGATCCATTTACAAACTTTCTTTACAAATTACACTAAGTATGACCGGTCGTACACTGCATGATTAAAGTATGACCGGTCGTACTTAGTGTAGTTTGTAAACAAAAAAGTTTGTAAATATAATCTACTCCCTATATAAATAAATCATATAACTCAAAACCACAAGCCATACATTAATTATGGGGATAGGTTATTCTGCCTACTCTTATTTTGCCTATCTTTGTCTACCCTTTTCAATACCGTCAGATTTAATCTCATCCAACGGTAGAGATTTGCGAGATAAAATAAATCTTTTTTTCCCAATTCTTTCTCCACATTTCCTCTCCAACCGTTTCTCTTTCCTCCCCTTTCTCTCGAGCACATGCGTTTCAGGATAACACCTTTGAGATTTTTATCATACTAAAAATCAAAGGAAAACAGGAATTCGTTTTTATGTTCATATCATTTGCAATGTTAAGTTTTCTGTGTAATCAGCTTATTATTAGCCACTTTCCTATCTTTCGAATTTTTTCATCTCTGGACTAGGGTTTCAAAATATGAACTAATTGGTTTTGCTACAATTCAATATATTCATGGCTGTATTTCTGGTGGAGTTAGATTTGAACTTGTAGAAGAACAAAAAATCAATCTGTTAAACATTTTCCGGCTAGTATGATTTGCGGGTATAAAACCAAATTTAATCTCTATTAATATTCATTACTGAATAAGAAACTTTCAATACCGGAAAAGCCATGAAAGTTTATTATTAGAAGAACAATATATTCACGACAGTTTATTATTAGAAGAACAATAATAACAATATATTCATGTCCGTACTGCGGTATTGAAAGTTTATTATTCATGACTAGCCGGAAAATGAATGCATAACTTAGATCATGTCATCAGTATCATAATAATTAATATTTCTCTTGCTAAGAATAAAGCTTAATACTTAGTAGTATTGCATGACTTCTCTAGCTTTTGGTTATACTCCTAGACATAGCTTATTGTTTTGTTGGAATATTCTTATTTTTAGGGAACAAATACAGAATTGTTGCTTTCACATGGTGAATATATGAAACTTAAGGCCTCTCTGAATTCTATTTTCAAAATTAATTTTGTAGTATTTATAATGAAAAATAAAAAAAATTGGTTGACAAATTTTTTTTTATAAAAATTATAACTATTTTTAAGTTTTTAATATCAAAATTATAAGAAAATAACTTACCTGAGTTATTTTTACTGAAATTGATTCTTCCCGGGTCGATGCCCGAGCGGTCAATGGGGACGGATTGTAAATTCGTTGGCACTATGTCTACGCTGGTTCAAATCCAGTTCGGCCCAATAATTTGCCGATCCCCCATGAAACGAGATAACCCATTTTTTTATCCGGAATTAACCGCGCGTTCTGATACGGACGAAAATATGAGATATCCGCGGGCGCGGCTTTCACGCTAGCGCTCTCTCGTTAGTCGTTGCTTGTTTGGGTCGAAAATAGCATCCGATTGTGTAATGATGAAACCAAAACAAAATACTTAATTAAAACATATGATCCTTTATCGAGGGGATCCTTTGTTTTGATTTTTAAATCAAATGGGCCCATAGATTTTCTTGGCTAAACCGAGACTTTCAGATAATGGTTGTGGATTCTCTCGGATATTACTTGAGAGCATATTTAACTATAAATAAAGTGAATATTGAGATATGAGATCTCTGTTTTTTGTTTTAATCTCTAGCAATTCGAAGAGAGTGTTAAATTGAAAGTTGACTACAGATACTTGTTTTTTTAGTTTTTTGGATACAAATACAGATACTTGTTCGGGCATCGTGGTGTTCTTCATTCTTAAGAAGCTGTTTTCAAGCTTATTTTGAGTATTGCTTAATGGGTTAATTGCATATTACAACTGAAATCACTGTATTAAAGATTCATGTTATGGGAAGTTTTGGACTACGACAAAAAAAATAAAAGAAATGAATAAATGAAGTTGAAAAATTACTTTGCAATTTTTGATTAGTATGAAAATGTGCTTTTCCCCGTTGTAGATGCTTCACGATCAAAAGAAAATTGCGGGACAGCATATTAGAATAAAAAATGAACAAGGTTATAAATGATTGAATTGTTTAAACTGACACTTCGAAAAATTGACGTGTCAATGAGTGTCACGACACTCATATCCCAACATTTCAACACGGGCCGTAAAGATTTAAAAAAATATTATATTGCATTGTGGTTTTAATTTTAATTATTAAATTCGTTAGATTATAATTATTATTTTATTAATTTTAATATAAATATTTATGATAATTTATTATTTTTTTATAAAATTAACGGATATAAAAAGTTAAATTATTGAATACTATAAAGGGAAAGGATATTGTGACAACTAAGTTGTGTTACTACCAAGTGACTACCAATCAATCTCACCGTTAGATCGATTATGTGGATTCAATGGTTATATTTATTTCCATCTTTGTATGGTCATGATTCCCCATATTTAAAGTGAAAGCATTAAATATGGGAAATCATAACCACACACAAAAAATAAATATAAAGTATTAAATTTTCATACTTTGTTAATTTTTAATGTCAAATTTCATAACGTGTCGGAACGTGTCTAAATATGATATTTTTTAAAATTAACGTGTCGACTTGTCGTTTCTGTATGACATTTTTTAAAATTAACGTGTCGGCTTGTCGTGTCTGTCCCGTGTCCGTGCATCATAGATATTTACGAAAGTATCATATTAATATCAGTGTGGCTGCAATATTTAAACCACATAGATATTTACGAAAGTATCATATTAATTTCCATTGCATGGACCCCGAGTCAGAGGAATACGCCACCCACGACCTACCAACCGCCACTTCACCGGAGCCACCCCGCCGGTCGATCTGTTCCAACTGCCGGAGACCAAATCCGGTGTGTCTCTGCCACGCGCTTCCCGTGCACCCAATCCAAACCACAACACGAGTCCTAATCCTCCAGCACCCGCACGAGGCGCACCACAAGCTTTCCACCACTCCAATCCTCACCAAAACCCTCCTCCACGCCACCGCCGTCACCGGACGCCGCCTCCGCCCCGGCATCTCCTCCTTGCTGGACCAGTCTCCCCCCGCCGCCGTCTACTACCTCTTTCCGGCGACGTCCTCCTCGCCGGCCGTCAACATCTCCGACCTCAAGCACGAGAAACCCTCAGTGTTGATCGCTTTTGACGGGACGTGGAAGCACGCGAGGGAGATGGTGAAGGCGAGCGAGGAATTCCTCTCGAAGTTTGCGATTAGGGTTAGTTTGGGGGTGGATGAGAAAGTGAGTGGCGGAAGCATTTACGATTCTGATTTGGTTTTGAGGAAGGAACCTTTTTCTGGATGTGTGAGTACTATGGAGGCTGTGGCCAGAGCCTTGGGTGTTCTTGAGCCCAACGGGTTCGATATTGAAGGCACATTGATTAAGATTTTGAAGGAAATGGTTAGGTTACAGGCTGGGTTTTTGAAGCCCATGAAGCCCAGGCCCAAATTGTTAAAGAAGGTTAAGGAAAAGGAAAAGGAAAAGGAGTGAGACATGTGAATGCAAAATGGTTAGTGGTTTCTTTTGCGGAATTCAATTGCTTCTGTCTCAAGCACAGCATGAGGATTTGTAGTTTTATCATTGTGTTGTGGTGAGCAAATTTTATTTGTTGTGGTTTTATTTTTAGAATTAACTCTATGGGAAAAATGTGTGTCATTTTAAAGGATGTAAAGTTGTGTCATTTTAAGAAAGAGAAAGAGATAGATAAAGGAGGAGAGAGAGTTGACAAAAAAAATAGGAGAAAGAGTTGACAAAAAAAATAAAGGTGTGGGTCCTACCTCTTTGTGAGAGTGAAAGGAGATAAGTTGTGTAATTTAAAAGGATAAACACTTTTCCCTAACTCTATATGCCAAATTATGCCAATGCTTTGGTATAGATGTATTCTAGATGTCTATAAAACACCGATACTTTGAATTTTTTTTTTCAAAGTATCCGATACACTGTATCTGAAACGTATTATATCGTATCAACGAATTAATGGTCGTATCAAGAATATATTTGAAATGTATCAAAAATGTTGTGTCGGAGTCGGTGCTTCCTAACTAGATGCTAAGTACTTCTTTTCTATGATGGGATTGGGTGGTCTTTTTTATACATGCGCGGTTCATCGAATACTTGGTTGGATTGGATGGTTTTAGGATAGCGTGGGAAATGCATATTTGTTAATTTGATTTTAATTTACTTTTGTGATTTTTATGTGCTGATTGAAGCACTATAACTCTATACAACAATATGGCTTTTAAGTTCCAGATTACTTAATGGGACCGAAGTCGTCAATTTCTTGATGAGGAACATTTATAGAACACAAGAACGACTGTTCCAAACTATGGTATTTGTTGAAAATCTTACAAGAACAGAAGCTAGCAAAAGTTAGGGAAAGATATCATTTAATTAGAACAGAATACGTAACAGCAAAAAAATATGCTGAAGTGATTTCATGTGCAAACATTGAAGAATGGATGTCCATGTTCTGCTGATTAAACCTTTCATGCTTGTGTTCGCACCTAAATTGAAATAGAGTAATTTTTTTTTTTATACTAAAATAGAGTAATTTTCATCCAATAAAAATCGTCATGTGTCATTCCTGGTACAAATTAGACAACAGGCATCAAATAAGTGCCCATTCCTTACCATTAATAAAATGAAGGGTTTTATGTTTATCATTTAACATGATATAACTTCACTTTCCTACACACATTAAAAAGGTGGGGTCCACATGTTTTTTTTCTCTTTCATCATTCCACTTTCTCTCTCCTTTTTGATGTGAGAGTTGGAAACAACACTTACATTATGTTACATAACACTAATAAAACCCTAAAATGAAAGGATTAAGCCCGTGAGGATTCCATTGGCAGGGAGAGTGGCTTGGATTGGCACGAAACTTGATTTCATAGTTTCCTGAAAAAGAAAAAGAAAAAAAATTAATATCAAATCATGAAGCCAATCAGCGCACCATTGTACTCCTATTGTCCTACATGTCATTTTGAACATAAAAACATGAAATGCATTATGATGATTAACAAAAATTGTGTATCCAAAAAATAAAAATAAAATGTAAGTGGAATCTACCTAGAAAAAAAAATAATGTTTCTTATATTGTAGTAGATAATTGTATTTTTTATACATACATAAAAGTGTTTAAAGCTTATGTTATTTTTTTTTCTTTCTTCTCTTCACATGGGTCTCACATACTTTTATGTGTATATAAGAGAAAAAAATTATCTCCTACAATATAATAAATAAAAATCCCGAAAAATAATTATGGGAAAGCAACTTTTTTTTGTTAGAAATCAGGTGAATCTCCTCTCTATACAAATCAAATTTTATTTTGCATAAAATTGAGGCCCGTATAGTAAATTCATATAATAAAAAAATAATATATCTTTTCTTTGATAGTACAGAGTTTTATTTTAAATTCTTGCTTCCATTGTTAAAAAGCAATGTGTTGAGTACCAAAATTGCTTTTTAACAATGGAAGCTATTTGAGACAATAGCTTAAGTTCGCTAATTTGCATGATATCAATGTTTTATCAACTATAACCCTCCTTATCCACAGATCTAAAAAAATCAGAATCCTTTAATCCAAAATTATACTTACAACTTTGTAACAGATGAGTAAAAAAAAATTTAATTTTATATGTTTAGTTCCTATAACAACTCTCTTCTGGCAACATAAATGACTAAGCTAGTCACAACATATTTTTTATAACTTATCTTCTTATGCAAAATATATATATAAAAACCCAAAATCTGCACGAGGCCAGAAAGAAGCTGTGACCAGTAGGCCATTTTTGCTACTACGGAAAAAGCAGAAATGCTCATGGGAATAGAAAAAAAGGATTTGGGAGAGCCACCTCCGAAAGGGTCCAACGGTGCTCGATGGGGATTAGTCTTTGGTTAAAGGGTCCGACGGTGCTCGATGGGGATTAGTTTTTGATTACTGCCGGAGGATACCTTTGAATTTATTTAAAAAAGAAAAAAGAAAAAGCAGAAATGCCACTGTCCACATGATCTGCTGTGTTAATGCTCTTAAAGCTGCCATAGTAATAGGAAGAAATTCACTTGTTAATAATTTTTAGTAAAAGGAAAAAGATTGTGGTTTTTTATATTGACAAATCAGTTAGTAGTATATTTTTTGTGAAGCTAGTAGTATCATTTATTGTTAAGTAATCGCTAAGCAAATGTTGGTGCTTTGTTAATAAATAATATAAAAGGTTCTGTCAAGAATTAAGAAGACACCATTTCAGAAGTTTAAATTGTTAACTGAAGGTTTTTAACCAAAAAAATTAATAAAAGGTTTAACATATATTTAACTTTTTTTAATTGATTGATAATGGAATGATGTGAATTGAAGGTTAATTATACAAGAGGTTTTTGTTGGGCTTCCTCCTTCAATGCTAAGCCCAAGCTCATTTGAGGGGTTTCCTAAAAACCCTAACTCTAATTTCCACCTCCTCTATATATACTCATTAGTTGTGGGTGGAGGCTAGGTCAGATTTGAGAGAACAAATTTGAGAGAATTATTTGATTGTTTAAGCAAAGCTTTATGCTTTGCATTTGAGAGATCTCTAGAGAGTGTTTGAGTGAAACATCTCTAGGGTAGTTTTATTATCACCATTGTTGGAGAGGTTGAGTTAACCACCACATTGGTGTATTTGATTCGTTGTAACCATTATTTTCATAGTGGATTTTTTGATCTGGACTAGGTCCTATGGATTTTTACTTCTTCATTGGAGAAGGTTTTCCCACGTTAAAACTGGTTGTGTTCTTCTTCTCTCTCACTCCTGTTTTGTGATTTTTCGTTTTTGATTTTTCCGCTGCGCTGCCTGACCTGGTGAAGTTCAGGCCGAGGTATTGCTGAGATCCGAGATCAGGATCTTGTTGATTGACTTCCGCAAAAAGGCTGCTTAGCCGAGCTTGAGGGAACCGAGTTCCCAACAGTGGTATCAGAGCCCGAGTTCGACGGGTTCTGAGGGAGACGAGATGGAGACCAGTGGCATAACTCATGATGGAGATATGTTCAAGTTGACCGCAGACAACTTCACTTATTGGAGACCGATGATCGAAGATCATCTCTACTGCAAAGATCTGCATGAGCCCATTATTCTTGATGAGAGACAAGCAGGCAAAACTGATAAGGAGTGGGAGATCCTGAGTCGGAAGGCGGTAGCCACGATCAGGAAATATATTGATAAAAGCCTCTTTGAACACGTGTCCGAGTTCACGAACGCGTATGAGTTGTGGACGAAGCTAGAGTCCATGATTCAGAAGAAGACTCCCAGGAACAAAGCACACCTGGTTCGCCGACTTGTTAAGCTTGAATACAAAGACGACATGAGCATCATTGAACACCTGAACACCTACAAAGGTATTGTGAATCAGCTGTCAAAGGCTGACATGAAAAATTGAAGAAGAATTGCAGGCATTGCTGCTGTTGAGCTCGCTGCCAGAAAGCTGGGATACTCTGGTGGTGACCCTGAATAACTCGACTCCAGATGGAAAATTGAAGATGGATGTCGTGACAGACAGCCTCCTGGGCGAAGAATCTAGGAGAAGAGAACGAGGTACTTCGAGTACGTCTGAGGCCAACGTTGCTGAGAACAAAGGGAAATCTGACTCCCGCGGTAGAAGCAAAAGCCGAGGTAGAGGTCATGATAGACGAGACAAGTCCAGAGGTCGGTCAAAGCCGAAATATGAGTTGAAGTGTTTTTACTGTGGAAAGACAGGCCATAAGAAGCCAGACTGCTGGACTCTGCAGAATGATGAGAAGAACGGCTCTGTGAAGCCGGATCAGATTATTCCCAAGAAGAGGGAAGACAAGAGCACCACTGCGGTGGCTGCCAACCCGGATGCCGAGATATTCCTCCTTGGTGAGGATAATTATTTGAATGTTGCATATGATGACTGCACCTGGATTGTTGACTCTGGTGCCTCCTTCCACGTTACTCCACACAAAGGTTTTTTTCCTCTTATCGAGGTGGTGATTTTGGAGTCGTGAAGATGGGAAATCAAGTGACCAGCAAGATTGTTGGTGTCGGTGATGTAACTCTGACCACGGATGTCGGATGCCGGCTTGTGTTGAAAGATGTAAGGCATGTTCCAGACATGCGTTTGAACCTGATCTCGGTAGGAAAACTTGATGATGCCGGGTTAGTAAACTACTTCGGTAGTGTGAGATGGAAGCTGGCCAAGGGAAACTTGGTCGTGGCCCGAGGTAAGAAGGAAGGCTCCTTGTACGTGATGCAAGGAAAGATTAATGGCGGAGAAGCCAATTCTGTCCGAGATGAACCTAGCTTGGAGCTATGGCACAAGCGCCTCGGCCACATGAGCGAGAAAAGGCTACAGATCCTGATCAAGAAAGGATTATTGATCGGGTTGAAAGGCCAAGCGTTGGAGAGTTGCACGCACACTGCCTAGCTGGAAAGCAGCACCGGGTTTCTTTTGTGAGACCGGATCAACCTAGACGACGCAGGTATATTCTTGACCTCGTCCATACTGATGTCTGCTCCATGTCGGAAAAATCCTTTGGAGGAGCTCAATACTTTGTTTCATTTATTGATGACCATTCCCGCAAAGTGTGGGTATATTTGTTGAAATCTAAAAACCAGGTACTCAAATCCTTTAAAGAATTCCATGCAATGGTTGAAAGGGAGACTGGCAAGAAATTGAAGGTGGCCCGATCTGATAATTGTGGTGAGTATTGCGGCCCATTTGATGCATACTGCAGAGCGGCTG